GAGGATTCACCAGGAACAGCGTGGGGAGCAGAACAGGCAGATCAAGGAGGTACACTGCTGAGGGGAGCAGCGGGCGGGTCAGGAGAGGTCTGCCACGCCATGTGGATCTCCTCCGGGGCAAGCGGGGATTGAACTCATGCGAAAGTGGCTTAAGCCTCTCAGTGCAGTGTCTTAACCCGCTGTGCCACCAGGGAGGGCCGAGGGTCAATGTGTTTTGAATATGATCAGCAACTATCCCAGCATTTGGATACATGGCTAATTATGAAAAATTTGGAACAGTAAAATGACTTATTATTATTTAAATAATACATTACCTCAGAATCAAAATCCATTAATAAAACAATTTTATCCTTGATAGAACTGAAAAGATTATGCTTGTGGATCAACTGGAAAACATCCTTATGTCTTAATGTTAAATATATTTCCAGAGCATTGCCATAGTTTTTATCATAGGTATATCTGGTAATACAAAAAAAATTACATTGATGTTTATCAACACTTCTGATTAAACACACACAGAAATCATGTTTGACAATATTTAAAAGCTGAAAGCCTTCTTTAACCTTACTTGAAAACTACTCCTTGAAACTTAACTATATGTGGCCAATAAAAATGTCTTTCTCAGAACCTTGTTTCTCATCTCATCAAAACTTAGAATACTCAAGTAATAAAAATATTCTCTACTGGGAGCTTAGCCTCAAAGATTGTTGTATAGAAATCTGTGTAAGTTTGTCTTGTAGATGTCCATATGCCAGTCCGGGGAGAATATTTGACTGCAGAAATGCATATAACAGTAAAAGAAACTTTGATACAGAAAAGAACTCTTATACAACTAATAAAAAGTTATTTAAAATTCCTAGAGTTCAACTGAGAAATAAAAACTTATTCATAAAGGGGCTATATCACGTTAATTCCTTACTTAAGTCAGTTCCTAAAAGTCAACAGAACTGAAATTGTACAGTTAATCCATTTCTAGTACTGTAGAATGTTAGTATTATTAGCAAACTTTTAGTATTATCAAATCCAAGGAACATCTAGGAAAATGTTTCTAAAAGAAAATGATAGCATTCCAACTTAGACCGCCAGAAACGGGACTTCCTCTGTGGAAGTCTGAAAGTCCTGAATTCTAAGTCATTTTCAGATACTTTTCTTGGTCTCGGGCAAAAAATGGGGAGGCGATAGTCCAGGTGGTGGGAATCCCAGGTGGCTAAGGTTGAAGGGAGTAACTGTTTCTATATTTCTGGTACAAGCATGAAACCTGGGTCACCGAAAGTTTCTAACAAATATGAAAAATATTTAACTAAGCTTTCATTTTTTGAGCCTCGACAGCTCACAACATCAGCACTGTGCATAGACCTTGGCTATGACATCTCACTTAAGATTTAAAATCACCCCATAAGGAATTGTTATCTGCGATCTGATTGATAAGAAGTCTAAGGCTTGAGAGATTAACTTGGACATGGAGATCCAAGTATAAGAGAACCCAGGGCCTCACTCACTGGGAACTGAGTAGCTAGAGAGGTTCCACAATCCAGCAGCACCCTTTCTGCCCTTAACCCTTGCTTCTGTCAAGTTCTGATAACTAGGCTTCCTCTCCTCTGGGTAACATGATATACCAATGCACAATATCATACACTTTTCCTTACTTTCTAGTTGTTCACTGGAAGTTTCAGAACACATTTAATATTAGTGAATATAGGAAAGTGGTATAAAAAACTGCTACCCTCTGCATCCTCCCCACTCGGAATTTGTTGAGCCTAAAGTATAAAAATGTTTTTCATGTACATTAATTTGGGGAAAAAAGCATTAAAGCATACTCACAATTCCGCCAAGGTTTTTAGTAAGGTCCTATTCTGACTATCTTTTTTCAGGTGATCACGAACTGCCTGAACAATTACTGAATTGTTGTACAGATCTCCAGGCCATTCTCGAATGAGTGTGGCAAAGCCCTAACCAAAGGGGGAAAAAAAAAAAACAACAGAACATTTTGTAAGTTGGTTGAAATCTAGAGAGTTTAAACAATGCTTATAAGTATTCTTATAAACAGATGTTAAAATAATTATAAGATTAAAACTAGCCCATTACATCTTAAAACAACAAATGTTGGTGAGGATGTGGAGAAAAAGGAACTCTCTGGTGGGAAAAGGAACTGCTGGTGGGAATGCAAACTAGTACAACCACTATGGAAAACTCGAGGTTTCTCAAATTGCTAAAAATGGAACTTCCATGTGACCCAGCAATTCCACCCCTAGGTATCTACCCAAAAGACACAAAATCACTGATTCAAAAAGACACCTGTACCTCCATGTTTATTGCTGTGTTATTTACCATAGGAAAGACATGGAATCGACCCAAGTGCCCAAAAGTAGATGACCGGATTGAAAAGATGTGGTACATATACACAATGGGATATTACTCAGCAGTCAAAAAAGATAAACACATGCCTTTTGCAGCAATGTGGATAGAGCTGGAAGGGTTCATGCTCAGTGAAACAAGTCAGAAAGAAAAAGAAAAATACTGGATGGTTTCACTCATAGCATACTGAATTGTTCACTCATGGAACAATTCAGTAATTGTTCAGTATAAAGGACTGGGGGGTGGGGGTGGGGGGTGGAAGGGCGGCGGCAAATAATAATAATGAACAACTATATACCAGAGACATTTTACAGGGGTGTAGTGGGGAATGGGATCAAAAATGGGGGTGGGGGGAGGAAGTACACAGGACTATGGTGATGACACACTGTTGATTTGGTGATGGGAAGCCCTAGGTATTACAACTGAGATGGAGAAAAGGCACAAAATGATGTAAAAATAAATTATTATATTATTAAAAAAAAAAACTAGCCCATCAACCTTTCATCAATTTTCAACTACGGTTTTGGACATAGTGAGGGGAGGCTGAGAATGACTGTACACTGATCTTCAGTTAACATTTCTGGAAGTAGATAGTGCTGTGGACTTCTGTTCTTAATTTATGAAATGAGTAAGAAAGGCCTCTGGTTCCATAAAGTACAGCTATGTAGACAGTGTTTAGGTTTGATATGCTCTTTCTTCATTCTGGACTTACTATAACACTTGGATGATGTCTTTCACATCTTAGCTAATGTTCAAGTCAGCTCTTTCCCTGCCATTTTGTATGTACCAGGTCTGGGGAGCCTTGGGCATCAGCCATGCAGCTGGCACAGTCCATGCAGTTGCTGGCATCCACCTTCAACAAGTTGCCATTTTTGCCTCTAAACCTAGTTTTGTTTGACAATTTGGTTCAGGTCTTATCCTCTAGATCTTATCCTGGCTATCTCTGGACCTCAAGTTTATGTTCTGATAGGTAGCCCAGTTCCTCAGGTATCCTGTTTCCTTGCTATGTCTAATTCTTGGCAAGAGTCCTTGGCAGGCTCTGCCCTCCTGATTTCCAGCTTTAGCCCTCAGGTTTTATAACTCAAGTTTTGGAATTGTTTACTTACTGATCCTTACAACACTTAGGAAAAAAATTAGATGTATTCAGAAGATAGCAAATGGAAGAAAAAATGTTTCAATCACTAAAAGAGATCCTATCACTAATACTGGTAACTAATGTTTTCAATTCCCAGGAAGGATGATTATAGAGACCAGAATTACGGGGGATACTTTTTCTACTCACACTGTAAACTTCCCACAGACGAGCATGTTTAACAGCCTGACTTTAGAGACTTGGGAAGGGGATTCATAAAGTAATGTTTTATAAAACTACTGAGTCATTAAATTGGTCTCCACTAAACGATGGTATGAATCAAATTTCTGCTTTCCCAGGATTAAGAACTTTATATGATAAGAAAATATGAAAAGCTTTCTACCCAAATACTGGCAGCTGTCGGTAGCCCTGAAACCAAAAATAATGTTGTTCAGGGAAAGAAAAACAGCTTGCTTCATTTTCTGTTCTCCTTATTTCATACAACAGTCTTGCAGTACTGCCAACCTCTAACCCACAAGAAGACAGAATGATAGGTTATATCGTTATGATACAGGGATGATGATTCCAACACAAACAGAAATAAACATTCATTATATTTCATTCATTAGGCTTTGCTGGCCTAATTGGTTTTATGCACCTTTGAATAAATATGCTAAGAAATACTAATGAACTAACTCTGTGGCCAGTAGTATTAGTTAGAGGACACAGTTATCAGGGAACTTCATGACCAAGTAAGCAAAGTTAGAGGTCACCACAGTGTTCCCTATAGCAAATAAAAGCTTAAAAGTATTCATGAACTGAAATGAAACATAAATCATCCTACATTTAACATGTTTATACATTTGTCATCAATAATATAATGAAATAAAGCTTAGCCATATAAACCATTCTCCTAGGTTGTAAATTAACAGACAAAGCTCAATACATTTTAGGAGAAACCTCATTTAATTAAGTCATGAAGCAGCATTATCTCTAAGAAAAGACTGTTCCTTCACATCTTTTTAGACAGAAAAATTTCAAGACATCAACAGTCTAGAGAAGAACAACAATTTATTTTTAATCTGAACTTTATGTTTACCAGAACAAATAAGTGATCAAAAGTGTTGCTACAGAATAATGCCAAATGATCAACTATGCAACAATTTAATTCAAAATTAAACACTACAATGAGAATAATGGAAGCTAAAAAATAAATTATTTAGCACAATGTATGACAATACAAATAAATTATTTATAATCTTAATAATACTGACCAAGGAGACAACTTAAAACATTGATGATATTGGATTTAAAATAGTTTCTCGAAAATGTAAGGGTTTAATTATATAAAAGAATAATAGCGGTGTCATACAAACACTTCTTTTTATGGTCAAATTAAATTATTTTTAAAAAAGGACAAATATGATAAGCTTTAGTATTTATATAAGTATCATTCATACTCTTTCCTGTCATTTTCATAGAACATTCATATTTCTCTTTCTTTTGGACACAAAGACAATAGTATTTATGACAGTCACCAAACATACTCAGAACATATGAGAAGGAAATAAAATTCATCCGAAGCCTTTATTTGCTGAAAAAAAGCTTTTCCAAAAATTCAGGCTAACTATGAACTCTCTTTGTTCTTTTATAGGACATACACTTCTCTGATTTACTAATTTTCTAATTGCTAAAAGCTTATTAATAGGGTTTTCCCAGTCTACAAACACATAAGAATGATGTCTTCATTTGTCTTGGATCCAGCTGGTCATTCAGTCTAGTTCTAGAAGATGACTGGTTCCAAATAAAGATTTGTTGGATAGAAACCATATCGCATGCCAGCTGCTATTATACAGCATAAATCACAGAAGTGATTATTATAAAATCTTCAGTACTGAGCTAGAAAGGAAAAGATCCATGTTCTCAGAGAAGACCAGATTACATAACATGCTAATAAAGAAGACAAAGAAAGCTGCCTCCTTCATCAGCATGAGTAATCAATAAATTAAAAATATTTGTTCAAGTTTAATTCATGCTTAGCACTTAATCCCTTCGTATTATAAGAACACAGCCTTATGAAAGTAAAGGTAGCCACACAAACATGAGGATGCTTGGACCCAGTAAGACCTGGAGAGCACACAGTGACCACTCAGGTGATCAGGGAAAGGAATCACGGCCTTAAAGTTCCCTTTAGGTCTTAAGCCCTAAAATCACCTAAGTTAAAACTTATTGTTTGCCATAATCGCCCTCCTTAAATAGAGTTATTGGTTAAAAAAGTATTTTCAAAAGGTGTTTAATGCTCAACAGGCCCTCAAAACACAAGCATTCATTCTCACCTTCACCCCTACTCTGACTGCCTCTTTCTCTCTATACATTAACTTTTTTGCAAGCCATGTTACATTCGAGAAAAGGAAAGTTTCGAGTTTTTCTTATTTTTAAATTAAACATTAGTATAGAAGGAGGCAATGGCAACCTACAGCATGCTGTGAGGCACCAGAAGGGGCTTAGGCCCTTGACTATTACAAGATGATCAAGTCGGGGTCACTTTTACATGACAGCAAAGGATGGGCGAAAGCCACAGAAGCACAGCCAAGGGTCTGACAACTCTGTCTCCTGATTTATGGCTCCTTCTTGCACTAGTCACGGCTCTGTCTATAGCCTGCCCACCAGAAATCTCATCTGTCTCTCTGGACAGATGGGGAAGGGGAAGTAGGCGGATCAGGAAAAGTTGGCTGAATCCAGTCATCATACTTTGTTGATCTTTTTCTTGGAGCACCCAGCATGTTGTATAATGGTATACTTCTTTGTTTCAAGGCTTCTCGACCTCAGCACTGCTGACATTTGAGGTCATAGCACTCTGCTGCAGGAAGCTGTCCTGTGTGTTTCAGGATGTTTAATAGCATTCTGCTGGTCCCCACATGCTAAATGGGAGTAGCACCAACCAACCAAAATTGACAACCCAAACCAATATATGTCCCTGTGGGAGAAGGGGTATAAAACAGCCCTGCAAGACTATGAGGGTTACATACTTGACTATGGCTCTGTGACTTGGACAAAAAGCTGATGTGTATGTCCAGTGCCTGGCACACTTCTGGAATACCGTAGGCACTACACAGATACTTCCTGAATAGGAACGTGTCAAATAAAAAGATTTTAAAAATTATAATCCATTTTGGGAGCATGAAATCCTAAAACGCCTGCTTATTAACTATATGGTAGTGGGCAAGATACTTAATTCATTAATCTTTAGTTTCCACATCTATAAAACTGGGTCTTACTATTTATAGTGCTGTAAGAATATAACTTTGCACACGCATGTAAAAGAGCACACCATAAAGTAGATAAGCAATTTAAATATTGCCTGTCTCCTTAACCAACTAACAAACAGACTATTTCCAATCCCCTTCACCATCCCTGAGCCCTTGTCTTTAAATCCTCCTTTGGCAAACTTAGTTCTCAGTCTCACTAGTTAAAAGTTATTCTTTTAGGTGCAGGAAAAGCATCAATAGCAGCTGTTGTTTGTAAAATCCTCCAATTGAGCACTTTGTCCTTTTTACCCTTAGTTCTATTAAGGACTAATAGAAGAATTCTTTAAAATGTACATAAAGATTGTTACCATTAATATAAACATTAGCTGGCAGCAGTTTAACCTCGTCAGTTTCATCTATCACACACAAGTTGAAAATCTGTTTCTCTTAAGCCAATTGCTTCCTTATATTATTTTTCTTTGATTTCTTAACATTTTCCACTGAGAATGAGTAAATGTGACCATGTCAGAGTGTGATACCTCATAATCACTTTCCAAAAATTCATGTAAGATCATTTCATAGATGAGTGGTTTCAGAACTGGATCCCCTCTTGGCAAATAAGGACTAATAGCCTAGAGAAAGAAAAAACAATTCTTTAAAAAAATGGCAAAACAAAATTCTTCTTTGATTATGCAAAATCCACAAACATATCCTTTCCCTTGTAAAATTTAAGGCAACAAAGTAATTTAGAAAATAATTATTATATGATTTCACAAAATATTTTCTTACAACATAGTATAATATTACGTAAGATAGTATTTTCAAAATAGTCAAATATTTTAAAATAAACGAGGTGTATATACAATAATGAATGAACAAAAAATGTCCCAGATTACTCTTGATCTCTCCATCCTTCTTAATGAGTTAACCAAAATCTAAAATAATAAGAGGGAGATGCCAGAGATGATGGAGAAGAGAACTTCTTAAGTAATCAGAGAGTTAGGTCATCTATTCAACTTTCTTTTGTTCAAATGTTTAAAAACTCACAATCATCCTTGGAAATTAGGGAAAAATAAATCTTGTGTTCTTTAGCTATTTAGGTGCCGAGTACTGAATTTCTAAACACTGTTAGGTGACTCTGCAGACCACGCAACAATCAACACTTTGTACTGGGGACACAGAGACAGAGTCAAAGTCCCAAGAAGTGCACAGCCCCAGAAGGAAGGGATGTAGGTGTTTAAACAATGAACCGTGACAGAAGAGAAGGATTAGCTAGGGGCTGCGACTAATCTTGCTCAGTGAAGCAGAGATCACAGATGTCCAGGGTCTACCAGGCATAGAAAGAAGGGGAAGGGTACCAGACAAGGGGACCAGCAGGAGCCAAGGATGCACACTCTATATTCAGAGAGGTCAGAGCAGCTCAGAGTTGAGCAGCAGGGTGAATGAAGGGAGATGAAACTAGAGAGGGAATAGAGGCCAGTTTATGAAAGGAATTCAGATTTTATTCTTTGGGCAGAAGGAAAACAACAAATATTAGGGACGTGAGAGTAGCAGATTTATTCTTCAGACAGCTAATACTTAGTGAGAGTGGCCTCTAGATCGATCAACAGTTAAGGCATTATGACAGGGGAAGAGAGGCCCAACTGAAACTGACAAGGTAAAGCTAAGACATATTGGAGATTAAATAGGATAAAGGCATAAATCACATGTTTCCATCAAGATAATATTTTTTTTTTAAGATTTATTTATTTGTACATACAAAACTGGGGTACAGGCCAGAAGCTCAGGGGCGGTGAGAGGCTTCACCAGAGACAGAGTGGGGAGCAGAATAGGCAGATCGACGAAGTACACTGCTGAGGGGAGCAGCGGGCGGGCCAGGAGAGGTCTGCCACGCCATGTGGTCTCCTCCGGGGCAGGCGGGATTTGAACTCATGCGGAAGTGGTTTTAGCTTCTCAGTGCAGTGCTTTAACCCGCTGCGCCACCAGGGAGGGCCAAGATAATATTTTAAACTACTAAACATGGAGGAATGGGTAGACCGTGATGTCATAAACACAGATCAATTCTGGAAGGTGAAGAATCAATTTGGGGAAGAAATGAATTTGCATTATATTGAGTGGTGATCATTAGCAGTAAACATGAGGAGAAATGGGTATCACATATTCAACATGGTAAGGAATTCAAAAGAAAGGTCTGGGTATGGAGCCACCAGGGTAAACATGGGCAAAGGGCTGGACAAGACCTCCAGGATCAGTTCAGTGAGTGGTGCTGAGAAGTGCCGGGGTGGAGGGGCTCCCGGGAAGAAGAGTAACATTGGTAGGACAAGTAGAGGAAGAGTCAGAGGGCTGAAATGTCTGAAAAACTGGGCGTTTTTAAAAGTGCATTCCTAACTCACAAGGTATTGAAATATTTTAAACACAGGAAGACTTCATTGATTTAGATATCATGTACAAGTTGAAAGACTGAAAATGAATAATCAAAATTATTGCTAGAATTATAAGTCAAACATTTTCATTTGTGTTCTAGCAAAGTAAAATACAATTTGAAAAATGTGTTAAATTTTCAGTAAACTTACAAAAGCTTTATGTTTAATATCTACAGGATGAGAGTACACCTGACTTTCACGTTCTTTAAAAAGAACAAGCAAACTTCATCTGAACACAAATGAATACAGGGCATATGTAATATACACATATATTTATTTTATCACATAAAATATAAGTCAGGGCTTTTATTTTACAACTAATTTCTAAAAGTTGATTTTTCTCTCCAGCTGCTAGAATGCTTCCTCCCTAATAAAAAACTGACTATTGTTTTATTTCTTTCATATTACTATACTGTATATAAAAATTAAGAGTTAAAAATCAAGTTTTGTTTACCTTAAGCTGTCCAATTTCTTTAAATTTATAAACTTCATATTCCCAGAGTGCTGCATTTTTCCCAAGAATTTTCTGACACTTGCTGACAGGAAAAAGATCCCAAGGAGAAAGAGAGTATAAATTAAAAAATGTAAGCATAACAGAATTAGTGATCATTTCCCCTGTGGTTAAGATTACACTCTCATCCCAAAATTTTGACAAATTTTTATCTCAAGTACTAATGAACATAAAGGTAATAACTACTAATATTTATTTGATTGTATACATGAGGCTGACAGAAGTCAGGACAATTAATACAAAATACTATAAAAAACACAGATGAATCCTTCCCAGATGACTATGATTTGGGGTTTCCCAATGATTTCCCTGTGTGGAGTTTCCTCACTTAAATTCAGATGTACACTACTGGTTTTGGTACCATTCCTTCCTTGAAGAAGTATCACACAAAAGTGCCAATATGAAACTACTTCTTACATGGGCTTAATAAGCGGACTACAAAATTACACTTCAGGAATTCAGACTTTGACCTAGGTATGTATGAAAGAAACCTTACTTAATTTACATAGCTAAGGAACAAGTTTACCCAGATCTCAGGGGCTGCAAACGGGCTTGAAGACCATCTTCCCAGATGTTCTGTTGGCCCGTAGATGGGCGCCTCACACTCTGGGGACCCCTGACACACACCCACACAATCACTACTAAACAACCATGTCTTTGGCCTCAGTATCCCCTGCAGTCCAGGAGCTTGATCACTTTTCTTTGATTGCCACCCTCTCGTTGGGAAGCCACTCAGCTTGAAATGTGAGCAGAGAATTGACTATCCTTATTCTGGTCTATCTTCTCAAGAACACTTGTCAAATCCTGGAAATCACAGGTCACAGGGTTTCCCTTGAGAGCTAAGCAAATTGCTGACTGTTCAGTCTAATAAAAACAATGTCTCCTCAGGAGCCCAACATGGGTAGGCTTACTGTCCATTATAAAAGAATTCCAAACCTGAGCTCTGAGGTGTCTCTCCTGTAATGCAGCCCACTGCCTGGGAAGGTCACTTGCCCCCTCTGTCCTACCTCATGCAAGGATTCCACCTACTAGTACCGCTGACCCAGCACCCATGAAACTGGTGGCTCACTTGTTATTAGCTTATAAGCAGGGTAAAATCTCAGGCTTCTCATGGTTCCTAACACCTCTGTCACTGAATAAGTGCAACATTTCTCCATTTGTCAAAATGAGACAGTAGAAGGATAAATAACATAGATTAATCCGTTCTGGGTTAAAACCATTAATATTCAAAAATTACCACCATTAGAAAGATGAAAGTATGTCTGTCCACTGAAGAAAGTAGCTTACTTTTATTGTTAAGATTGTTCAACTATATTTCTATTAAGAAGTAATTGCAATGATGTCATCATTACCGTGCTGCTATGTCATAGTCTCCTTTATCCACTAGGTGGTTTATATATGCCAAGCCAATATCCTAGAGAAAATGCAACGAAGAATTTGATAATTCATTGTAACAAGTGAAAAGCTGAGTCTCAATTTCTGAGTAAAGTTAGGGTCTATTAGCTGGAAACTGTTTATACATCTCCTTTTTATGTAATTATGTCATTTTATTCTTAAAGGTATTTAAATGTACTTCTGTTCCTACAGTCACAAACTTTAGAATTCACAATATTTTAAAAATAAACAATTTTGCTATTTTAAAAACACTGTACCTGCCTCCTTATGAGAATTTCTACAAAAGAAATCTCCAATATTGGAAATATGACTGAACAATCTCATCCTGTCATTGCATATAAAATTGTTGCCTGTGCGCTCATCTATAAAATGTAAGCTACCTGTCTCCTCTACCTCAAGTCTGATAAAAATGACAGACTATCATATTATAGGGAAATACTAAAGTGAAAATGAGCTCAGAAACATGTCATTCAGAAAACAGATGAATGTACAGATGAAGAAACCGAGGATTCAAATAAAGAGCTGGCTGGCTTGAGCCGTATTCCTGGTAATCAGTAAGTTTGGTTCTGAATGAACTTGTAGTTACCACTGGCCAGAGACATGCAGAGGCCTAATTTCCCACCTGTCTTTACCTCTCTAGCCTATTAACTTTGCAGGTGCCATCATCTCCTATCTTCATACCAAGAAGCACCCTAACTGATTTCCCCATTAGCTGCCTCCCTCGGGTCCTCCTCTCTCCATCAGAATAACTCTATTTCTAACCAACAAATCTGATGTAGCATAGGAAGTATAAACTTAACTTCCAAGATAGAACCAAGTTCCTGATTATACAGGGCCCTCTGGGCTCAGGCTCTGACTACCCTGCTAGGTACAAATCCTCAACTGCCCACACATAGAAGTGGATCAGGCGGCTTTGCTTCTCTGCACTGTCATATATAGTATTCTACTCCTGGAAGGACATTTGTTCCATTTCTAAACTTTGCATGAAAAAAAAAAAAATCTCTGGTTCTCTTTCCTTTTAGTTCTTGAATTACTTTGAGTACTTTTTAGGAATTATGTGGAATTTTGCAGAGAAATAGGGAAAGGTGGTAGAAGGAATTTGTGCAGAAAAGCAAATAGCCAAAAAAGATTAGAAGTTTTCCATTTTCATCTGTTAACCAGGGTGCTGGGCTAGAAGATCTCTATGTCCCTTTCCAACTCAGGGGGTAACATTTCTTTTCTGCTTTCCAGCTGCATACTTGCTGTCATAACGAACAAAGAAATGGGTTAAGTCATTACATTTTCCAGAGTCCAAAATGTAATAAAAACTATTTAAGGGCCTAGATTAATTACCATAACAAAATCAATTGAGCCTATTATTATGAAGATACCAAAGCAATGTAGCTTTATGAAATGATTCTTGGATAAATTGTGATATGACTTTTAACTATAATTTAAAGAAACTTCCTCATATCTAATTGGAAAGCTGTATTTAAAGTGCATTTCAAAAACCAGCTTAACAAATTACTTCAAACTTCTCCCTAGCAGGTGTTCAAGTCTCTTGTTTACAAGTAGAAACTTAATTCAACAAAATGAAATATTTTGCTTTCACTGGTTAGAAAAATAATTTCTCAAAAGAGGTAGAAAGAATCTGTTCTTTTCAAATTTCTTCCATTTTCATTACAACTCATTGAAAGGAAAGTTATGCCTCGAGTGATAAAATTATACACTTACCAGAATTTTATGTCTTTTAATGTTCTTCTGGCTAATTTCAGCTGCCATCAAAGCTTCCTATATTTATAATAGCATGATAAAAGGAGTCGAGAAACAGGGAGGGAGAGTGGAAAAGGATAGAAGAAAAAGTTATTGAGATTATAAAGACTATACTATTATGTCTAAAGACCCATTTTCCCATGGCCTTTGCTTCAAGCTCTGGAATTTTTAATGTTATGGTTGAATGGATATCATCGAATTCAAACACAAACAAAAACAGTCAACCAAAATGAAGACTTCTCTTATTTCCATTTGAATTCATTTTTACATTAGGATCGTGGAATCACTTTTCAGACACAAATCAAAATACAGCTAAACCTTTTAAGTTCAAATGATCAAAAACCATCTGTATTAACAAATGGGGTCCTTTTTCTTTATGAACTATAAAGTGCACTACATGCATATACTTACTTCTACCATTAAATTTTAAAAACCTATGATTTAATTTTTATTAAGCTCATAATTATTAGTAAACCACAAATGAAAAGAAATTACTTTTTTTAAGAATCTCATGGTTCTAAAACAATATGATAATTGGGATATGTACTTCATATCAATACCTGGACTAAAAATAGTTTGTAAATTAAAAACACCTCCCTCTCCAATCCTTTCAGATGGCCATGAACGTAAAAGGAAAAAAAAAAAAAAAAGTGGGCTATTTTTTCTGTTAACTTTTAGTTGATTAGTATTTAAGGCCATTCAGAGAACTACTCTAACTAAATCAGCACAATAATGTCTTTCCATCTAATGACTTCAAAATGTCTTCCTTAAAAAAAAAAAAAGTCATGATGGGACATTATCTCTGGCATTAATCTGTACTAGATTTACTGATGCAGAGAGCACAATTCTATCTGAATGGTAACTCAAACCATTGGCACAAATCAATGATTTCACTACAATATCCAGTCAGTTCTGAAATACTAACTTCACTTTAATTTTCTTGAAAAATACAAAATAAATATGCCATAAACTCAAAGAAAACTAATTCATCTTCCCATTTTCCATCAACTTCTCTCACATTTAAAAGTAAAGGCAAATCTTGTCAATTTTTTTCCTTTCTAATTTCTAAAAAGATGACTGAAGACTTATCATTCTCCTACACATTTTTAGCTTAGGACAGCTAAGTCATCTCTATGAAAGGTTCAGCATAAAAAACTTTTATCTCTCTATGTTAGACATGTCAATACTTTCAAGAAAGTCAACTCAAAATTACTTCATATTTCTTCTTTTCAAGGAGCCAGTCTATGTGGTCATCTTGGTCTCGTTCCTTAGCTACTACGACATCTCTTGGACTGACGATGTAAAAGAGTGATTCCCCTTCAGAGTACTCTACAAGTGAGAAAAGACAGATTAATTCTAGTGACTCAACAGTAGAAACCCTGGCAATTGATTTGGGGAAGTTGGTTAGGCTTCTCAACTGAAGAGTAAACAAAAAACTTGAAGCATGTATGTTTGACTCTACTTGAAGGTGAACAGGAGGGTAGAGAACAATGAATATATTTCAGAGCTTTTAAAATTATTTGTGTCGAATTACTTACAAAAAAAAAGTAGGAGAAGCAAAGGTCAAAGGAAACAAGAAAGGGAGGGATTACCAAAAAAACTTCAAAAAAGTTTAAAATTCATTGTTAAATGCATTAACATTCTGACCTCAGTGGAAAGACAGTATACAAAATTCTCCACATCTAGTGCATATTAGAATGCATCTACTGTATGTAAACTTTACTTATGGCTATGTATTGCACTGTTCTATTTTTACAGAACAATTACACCCCATAGTCAACAATGACTGTTTCCCCCTCAAGGTCAAGGTCATCTAAAGCATAAATGACAGATGCCCCAGGCCCTGGGGACATAATCTATCATTTCAGCATGTTGTGCACAGTGCCAATTGTGAGGGTTTCCTGTGGAATTCAATTATAAAACCTGTTCTGAAGGGTTTCAAAGTGTGCAGCAGAGTTTGCTCTAAGCAAAATAACTAGATTGGACATTTTCAGTTGCGAATCACATTTGCTTTTTGCCAAGTCCAGAAGGTACTCTTACATTTTTCAACTGATTAAGGGCTTCTTATAAAAAAGCTGAAATATGTACAGAACATTTCTTCATTTCCTCTGGCCCATGTAAGAAGTGGAAATACTCTCAAAAAATGGCAGTTGTTTTTTAAGCATGAAAGAATTTCTATGAAGCTTGGCTGCCCTATGTTCATCAGTACATTTACAAGGGTAAGTGATACTCAGACACAACTGACCCGGGTATGACTAAGTAACAACACTGGTTCTCCTTTTACTACTGGGTGATAATTAAGCGTATTCATTCATTTACTCAACAGATATTCAGCAAACATCCCAGTATTTCCCAAGGACCTTTCCAGGCTCTTAACATTCAGTCACCACCAAAAGACAACTTCTCTTCCATCCCAGAATGCACCTCAGGAAAATAAATTTGGGAGTGATATGGCAACCACAGCCCTGCACAGGTTGATGTGAATGTCAACTGTCATGTTAAGCAAGACAACAGACAAAATATAACACAAATATCACAGAACCTACTCACCTTAGTCCTGGGCCCCATCTCTACCCTCCTGTAAGCAATTCTGCAATATTTCTGAGCCCTCATTTTCAATGGAAGAGGCCTGATTAGATTTTCTCTAAGATCCTTTCAGTACCTCAACTTAAATTCCCAGTTGTGCTAATCAAGTGGAAGGGGATAAAACATAAATGTAAGAAAGAGCATGGGTCAGTTCCTCACTCTCTCTCACCTAAGTGATAGTCTCTACACTCATTTTCCTGAAAGCCTCTAACTGTCAGGGCATCAGAAGAGATCTCTTCACAAGTCTCAGGAAGTGGCTGGATTATATCCAGTCTAGGTCTGGCACAGTATTCTCTTTCCTGGTGGGGAAAAAAAAAGGGAAAAGGATCATGTTAATTACATTTCTGTAAATCATACAAATTAATTCCACTTAGCAATAGTACAATGGCTTGGTTTTATAACTTCAGCAGATGTAAAGCCCTCCCAACCACCTGTTTTGGGTATTCTCATGACACCATTTTACTTGTTCTTCTGCATGAAGCAAACAGGACAGGTACAATGTGTCCTTTCAGCAGTCCACCACTGCAGCCCATTCAACTCCATAGGCTTATTCAACTTGCTATACCTTTTCCTCACAGCAGTGAGGAAGAGTAAAATAATATGACTAACTGCTCCACTATCTCATCCACTGTCACTACTGGTAAATTTACTGGTGATGCTGAAAAGACACATATAAATAATAAAAAAAAATTCTATCTAAAGCAGAACTTGCAAAAGTGACAGAATATTTTCTATCTGCCCAATGTGACAGACACGAGCCACGGGTCACTACTGAACACCGGATTGTGACTGAGAACTTAAGTTTTAACTTTATTTCATTTGAATTAATTTAAACTGAAATAGCCACACGGAAATAGTGGTTAGTTACTATGGCTTTGTGACTATACTACCTATATCAAAACAAAGAGTATTTATCAAGCATCTCTGAACAGTTCTAACTCAGTTGGTGACAGTACACAGATTAAACTCATTTCATTCTTAAATTAACCCTTAGTAAGTAACGTTGGTCCTAATTTTATAGATTATGGAATTGTGGTCAAAATTAAATAAGTAACTGATGAGGCTAGTACTGTGGAAAAGCCAGAACTTATGGCAAACCTTGGATTTGAATTTTTTTAAGGTTTATTTATTTATGTATGCAGAACTGGGGTAAAGCCAGAAGTAAAGGGGTGGTGAAAGGATTTACCAGAGACAGAGTGGGGAGCAGAACAGGCCAAGGCACACTGCTGAGGGGAGCAGCGGGCAGGTCAGGAGAGGTCTGCCATGCCATGTGGGTCACCTCTGGGGCAGGTGCGGATCGAACTCATGTGGAAGTGGCTCCAGCTTCTTAGTGCTGTGCTTTAACCTACTGCGCCACCAGGAGGGCCAGGATTTGAAATTTTTAAGGTTTCATGCCTTTTGACCATTTAGTCCACAGCATAAAATACACTTGAATATTTTTCAAAGTGGTAAGACTTGCAGCGATGTAACAATGGCACAGAGGACACAGATAAAAGGAACAAAATGGAAAAAGTCCAGAATTATCCTCAACTCTCCAAGTTTCTGAAATCAAACAGTAAGCTTTGAAGATATCTTTGATCAATTTTGTTAGATTACTTGAGGAACAATTAATTACATTACCTTTGTAACTCACAGAACCATGCCAAAAATTAAATAACAATTACAAAAGATGAACTGATAGAGATAAAAACCCCAATGAGTTTACAGCAGAATTTATCATGTTTGTGAAGAAATGAGGCTATTTCAATTCTGAAATTAAAAAAAAAAAAATGAAGGGGAAAAGTGAGCTTTGAATAAAAAAAAAACTGCTGTCATGATGACAAAAAATATCAGAATCAGAATAAGAAATACAGAAAAGATTGACTCCAATATTAATAAAAAACCACCCTGCTAGACTATGTAAATAACTCTTTTATATGTGCCCTGGACAGTGGGATTCATCTCAGTACTTTTAAACCCTTGTTCACTGGTCAAGCAGCCCTGCTTATGTGTGAACTCCTAAAAGCAAGAATTTGGTCTTGTTTTCTTATCCCAATGCTTACTATACTTCTTGACACACGTGTGTTTTAGTAATGAATGAAAGAAAAACAATGCATGAAGGGAAGAGCTTACTATGCAGCCCTATGGAGAGAGAACCTAGTAATGTCCACACATCAGAACAATAAAGATACCATGTAACTATGACAGCAACTGTGTGGAAACATGCACACATGTAAAAAGTACAGTAGAGAAATTATTCTGGGAGATAATATTAAAAGTGATATAAAACAAGTTTTGTTTAATGCTGTAGTTAAACTATGTTTTTTGACAGGTAAACAAAACATAAATGTGGTTACCACCAAGCCTGCTTCTTAGTTCTCTTGTTTTAATTTTATCAGTTCATTTCATGTTTAAGGAGGTAAGATCCTTGGTGTTATATAAAATAATTCCCTAAATTCGCTGATACACATTTTTAAGTTATCTCGGAGACCCTCACCTCTCCCTCCAGAGACCTTCCATTTTCTAATTTGCTCTCTGAGGCTGGCCTTTCTTGGTTGTGACTCCTTGCCAATACTCTCTCTTTTATTAACAAATGTTCCCTTTCTCTCTTTTCTTCTTTCTTTTGGTCAATTGTTTATTAGGTTTTCACTTTTTCATTTTTACTGCTTCTTTCCTTATGTCTTTCAATCACAGTCTCAATCCTCCCCATATTTCTCATCATAAGGCACTGTATTTACTCCCTCAGGAGCCACTGCTTTTATTTTCAAAAAATAAATAAATAAATAAATAAAATAATAACAAACTGATGTCCTGCAACAGGGCTAGAAGCCAGCCCTATTGATTTTAGTAGGTTTGAGTGTTCACTTAAGTCCTCAGCATCCCATTGCCTAGCAACATGGGCACCCAGCGCTTCAGGTTACTATAGTGATGGCTTCCTAATGCAAGTGCTCACTCAGAGAAATGCTCTGGAGCACCTACCACTTCAAAACTGGGGCTTCTAGGGTTTTTCTCCCCACTTTATTCCTTGCCATTAGAAAAGAAAAAAGAAAGCGGTGGATATAGACAAAGAGAGCCTACTTACAGGAAAGAGCTAGACAATCAATTGCAATTTCTTTTATATACAGCATCCATCAGAAAATCCTTTACAATAAATGCCCCTGTTTATGCCTTGAACCACCCCTATCTACTTCTTGGCAGGACCCGGGGCTCTGACAATAAAGACAAGCTGGGGATGGGGCCGACCTAGGATTCAAGGGAGTGTGCACGCCCCTCCACTGGACCGTACATACAGGCTTCATTCCACACTCCCATGTTAGAAAATTTAGATTCTCCGCAGTTTCACATTAGCCACACATTTCATACCATCTTTGCTGATGGTAACTGAGACCTAGCAACAATCTATTTCAAAGCAATAATCAAGCTTCTCAGAATCACTGGGCCATTGGGAAGTAAACAAATATGTCTGGACCACAGGAAATAATGAACTGCCCTTTCCGTAATTCCCTCTGACCAAAGGGACCCCTGTTGTTGCAGCAGATCAACTTCACTGCTGTCATTTCTGCTAATGCACAGTGTCAGCTTAGTTTCTTCGCCTTTCAGCAAGAGGAATCCTTCACTCCTTTTGACTAAAATACCAAGAGAGATAGCAAAAAAGAAAAAAAAAAAAGACTCTCCTTTGCTCAGGGAAAGGAACAAAGGCAGGCAATGAGTGGAGCTTCTGAAAGGTAAATACTAACGTTAGGTCTACAGGGTAATCTCTGCCGACCTTATTTTATAGGTCAGGAAGTTCTGCTTAGACTGCAGCAGAATCTTTTCATGGGCAAGCTGATCCGGGTTTAATGCTAAAGTGAACCCACACATCCCTTTGTATTCCAGGGTGGAAAAAAAAATTACCGTTTTTTCAGAAACTTCCTTTACGTAGGAGAGTACCACGAGTTGATCACAGAGTGGTGCAAGTCCACTGATGTAGAATTCAGTTTCAAACTGAGACACTGCAAAGAAAAGGGACAGAATATTCACCACTCACAGGAGCAAAAAGCTGCACTCCAAGGGAAGGACACATCCATAGTAAAGGCGAGGTGACTCACTTTAGAAGTCCAACATAAAGAGTGTTAGGATAAACATATTTTCTTGACAATCATCAGTACAGAAGCTGAACTGATGGGTTATATGGGACTTTACATCTGTAAATTGCTATCAAAATCAAATAGCAAATGTACAATAGCAGCACAAGTGTGACAATGTGGCCAGCCAGCTTCATAATGACACAGTTAAGTTCCATGAAGATACTCTGAAGTCCATAAAAACCTAAGCTAAACTACTAACAAATTTTTTTTTTTTGAATGACAGGCTTTAAGTTTTTCATAATTAGTGTAGGCCACTGGTATAAACGTCATCAGAAATGCTCTTTGGATTCATGAAACACTATTATTATTCCTTTTAACATTTATTAAACATTTTATTTAAAGTCATTTTTGAAAAGATGTGTACAAATTACAAAATGATTAAACACCGTGATCTGTAAAGTGAAAAGGTCAAAGTAGATAAAGACATTTTCTTTCTTTTGAATGTTAGTGCTTAAAATTTAGAAGAAATATCACATCACTTAAGAAATTTAATCTACTTACAAAGAAGGATTTAATTACAATGGGCCTCAAAGATCTGACAGAAAGTCCAGTGGGGAAAGCAGCATAAAATTGCTACCAGCTGCTATAAAAATAGTGGTTACCAGAGGAAAGGGAGCAGGAATGTGGGTAATTGGTTACAAGGGGTCAACTATACGGTGAAGGACAAAGTTAGAGTTGTAGTAGTAAGCATGATGTAGTATATAGAGATGCTGTTTTACCTAAAACCCAAATAATGTTATAAACCAATGTTACTATAATAATAATAGATTGTTTTAAACAATCTCAGCTTTGGAATGGATTCTTACAAAGGGAAGCTAACTAATACAGTAAGTTTTCTTTTTTTAAAAAAAGATTTATGATACAGGAACTGGGGTACAGAATAGAAGTGCAGCAGGAAAGAGGATTCACCACAGAGAGAGTAGAGAAAAGAACAGGCAGACATATTGAAATATACTGCTGAGGGGAGGAACAGGTAAGACAGGAGAGGTCTGCTGTGCCCTGTGGGTCAGCTCTCTGGCCAGGGATCTAACTGGTGCTGTGATGGTTAGCCTGATAGTGCTGTGTCTTTATCTCCTGCACCACCACAGAGGCCCCTCATTTGAAAGTTTTCTAAGAGTTTCTTGATTGAGACCTTCCCTACAATTCTTTGGTATTAGCTTCCTGAGTTAACTTCTATGATGAAATTACCATCTTTCCAAAGTAGGGGAAGGCAATGTAGCATATCAAAAACATTAAAGAAGTGTAGTTAGGCACTAATACCAAAACCAAAGACAACACACGAAAAGAAAACTACAGGCCAATTTCCCTAATGAACACTGACTCAAGAATCCTCAACAAAATCTTTGCCAACAGAATCCAACAATGTACCAAAGCAATAACACACCACCTATCAAGTTGGATTCATCCCGGAGGCACAAGGATGGTTCAATATACTAGAATCGATAAATGACATCCAACACATCAACAAAAAGAAAAATAAAAAACATATGAGTATATTAATAGATGCTGTGAAAGCTTTTGACAAAATCCAACATCCATTTATGATGAAAGCTCTTGAAATTCTAGGGATAGAAGGAACATGCCTTAACATCTTAAAACATATACAACAAACCTACAGCCAATATTGCTCTCAACAATGAAAAGGTTAAAAAGCCTTTCCTTTAAGATCAGGAACAAGACAAGGGTGCCCACTCTCACCGGGAACAAGACAAGGATGCCCACTCTCACCGCTTCTCACCACTCCTCTTCAATATAATACTGGAAGTCCTTGCCAGAGCAATAAGACAAGAGAAAGCCATAAAATGAGCTCAAGTAGGGAAAGAAGTAGAAAGAAGTAAAACTAGCACTATTTGCAGATGATATAATATATACAGAGAACCCTAAAAACTCCAAAGAAGAACTACTCAAAATCATTTACAAGTTCAGCAAAGTAGCAGAATACAAAATCAACTCACGAAAATCAGTAGCTTTCCTATGTACAATCAATCTAAAGAAGAAATCAAGAGAACCAACCCTTTTAAAATTAAAACAGGCCCTCCCTTGTGGTGCAACAGGGTTAAGTGTGGCACTGCAAGCAAGCCACAGCCCCTTCAGTGGGAGTTGGCTCCCTGACCTTGAAGGTGATCCACATGGCGAAGCAGACCTCTCCTACCTTGCCCGCTGCTCCCCTCAGCAATGTACTTCATCAATCTGCCTGCTCTGCTCCTCACTCTGTCTCTGGTTAATTATCTCACTGCCACTGCACCTCTGGCCTATACCCCACCTCTGTATGCATAAATAAATAAATCTTTTTTAAAAAGTAAAATTGAAACAAAGAAAATCAAATACTTGAGAATAAACCTAGTAAAAGAGGTAAAGGACCTACACAAAGAAAATTGTAAAACACTATATAAGAAATAGAAGACAAAGAAATGGAAAAATATACCCTGCTCATGCATTGGAAGAATTAACATTATTAAACTAGCCATCCTACCAAAAGCAATTTACAGATTCAACCCTATTCCAATAAAAATCTCAATGATATTCTTCAAAGAAATAAAACAAATACTGATGAAATTCACATGGAACCACAGAAAACCAAGAATAGCCAAAGTCTACTAATGAAAACAAAGGAGAAAACAAACTACACAAAGCCATAATAATTAAGAGTTTGGGACTGGAACAAAAACTGAAACACAGACCAATGGAACTGAATAGAAAGCCCAGAAATAAAGCCACCCATATATGGAGAATTAATTTTTGACAAAGGAGCAAGGAATATGCAATGGAACAAGGACAATTTGTTTAACAAATGGTACGGAGAAAACTGGACCAACATAAGCAAATGAATGAAACTAGACCACTACCTCACAGTATGAATGAATATCAACTAAAAATGGATAAAAGATTTGGGCATAAGACTTGAAAACATAAAATATATAGAAGAAAATATAGGTAAAACACTATAAGACATACAGTTCAATAACATCTTTAAAGACTCATCACCCAAAGCAAAGAAAATGAAGAAAAAGATAAACACATGGGACTACATACATCAAACTGAAAAGCTTCTGCACAGCAAAAGAGACAACAGACAGCCTACTGACTAGGAAAAACAATCTCTGCATTCCATACAATGGGTAAGGGACTAATCACAAAGATATACAAAGAACTCACACAAATCAACAAAAACAAAGCAAATAATCCAGTCAAGAAATGAGCAGCAGAAGATCATAAAATACACTTCTCCAAAGAACATCAAATGGCTAACAGGCATATGAAAAAATGTTCAACATCCTTCATAAACAAGGAAATGCAAATCAAGCCACAATGAGATACCACCTCATACCAATAAAAAGGGCACATATCAAAAATCTAATAACAATAAATGTTGGCAAGGATGTGCTGAAAAAGGAACTCTCCTACATTGCTGGTGTGAGTGCAAACTGGCACAACCACTATGAAAAGCTGTATGGAGATTCCGCACACTACTAAAACTAGAGCTACCATATGGCCCAGCAATTCCCCTCCTAGGGATGTTTCCAAAGGACACAAAAACATTAATTCAAAATGATACAGATTCCCCCATGTTTATTGCAATAATCATTACTTACAATAGGAAAAACCTGGTAACAACCCAATTATTTACAATAGGAAAAACCTGGTAACAACCCACATGCCCAAAATTAAATGATCGGATCAAGAAGATGTGATATATATATATATACACACAATGGAATACTACTCAGCAATCAAAAAAGATAAATTTGGGGCCCTCCCCGCTGGTGCAGCAGGTTAAAACACAGCACTAAGAAGATATAACCACGTCAGCATGAGCTCAATCCCAACCCTTGAGGAGACCCACACAGTGCAGCAGACCTCTCCTGACCTGCCCACTGCTCGCCTCAGCAGTGTACTTCATCAGTCATCCTGTTCTGCTCCTTGCTCGGACTCTGGTGAATCCTCTCACCACTGCCGCACCTCTGGCCTATACCCCAGCTCTGTATGCATAAATAAATAAATAAATCTTAAAAAAAAAAGATAAATTCATGCCATTCACAGCAACATGGCTGGAACTAGAAGGGATCATGCTCAGTGAAATCAGAAAGTAAAAGAAAAATACCAAAGGGTTTCTCTTATAGGAGGGATATAAGAGAACCAAATAAGACATAGGGAAAAAAACTATAGTGTTATTACATTATAAAACACAACACAACAAAACAAAAAGAGACAATTATAAACCAGAGATATCTTACAGGCGAGGAGGAGGGAGAGGGATAGGAAGGAGGAAAAGAGGAATATGGGGGCTGTGGTAATGATACATGGGCGAATTGGAGGGGGGAGGGAAGTAAAGATGGTTTTAAAATGAACAACAATGTAAATAGATATAAATTCAAATTTAATCTAAAAAAAGAATGTGTAGTTAGGAAATCTGGGATATAACTTCCACTAAATTGAACTTGTATAAATCATTTTAATTTCTGTGGGTATAACTTTTCCCATCTATAAAATAATAGCACAGTAGAAATAAAATCCATAACATCAAGGAAATAAACTACAAATTGTTTTTCCTTCTTTCTCTTCTATTTCCCAAGCACCACTTACTGTTCCTTATGTAACTGCACTATCCAGTTTTTATACCAAAATGGAACTGAGGATGACCCAAAAATTACTAAATAGTAACATAACGTCAAAAGGCTATTTCTTATGTTCTGCTCTTGATCAGATCAAATTGCGGTTAGAGTGCCCTGGAAAGAGCCAGAGTAGAATAGAACTCCAAAGGCAGATCCTCCGTCTTTCCCCCTCAACCTCTGTGGGGTTGAGCTGAGTGTTTTTATCCAGACTCTCACAGTTCTGCAGAGAACCACCTCTACCACAACCACCAAGCAGAGGAGCACAGGCAGGCTCTAGAGCTTCTGGAGAAGCTGTAGTTTCTGTGTATTTGTGAGAGATAGTGTGGAAGGCTAGAAGAAGTGGGGAGGGCTGGAATGTACCTGTGATTGAGGAGTTTTGGGAAACAGAGCCCATAACCAAAGTGTCGACAATTTCAAATTTTAGAATACATAAAATGAATATTAGCAAGAAGATTTGGTTGTTATCACTTCTGAGTTTGCTCAGATAGGAGGAAGGGGAAATTTTTTAAAGCATGAAACAATAAGGAAAAATAAGATTAGCACTTAAGTGATGAATACTGAAGACAGACCTATGAGTCAATCTACAAATAAGAATCCCTAAACTACGGCACATACCTGATGACTGTTATAAAATGAACAAACTATATTTGTTACTTCAGGTTCTTTTGATTTCTTAACATTACTGACTATGGAGCAAATTCATTGCTGCCACTTCCAGTAACAAATATTTAACTCTCCAGTGCTGAGTGGGAATGATTGCTATTGAGGAGAAATGGATAGAGGAACAGACATAAAATAAAGCAAGCACAGTAAAATCCTAATTGCCAAATCTTGGAGGTAAGAATGGGGGTGGCTCACATTGCTGAAAAGACAATTCTTCATGTTCTTGTATGCTCAAACATTTTCATAGAAAATGTCAGGAAAAATATTTAAGCAGAAGAATAGTTTATAGCTTAAAAAACTAGCCTTGAAAATTGACTATAAAAATGAAACATCCGGAAAGGGAGAGAATAATGTAAGGAAGGGGTGAGAACAAAAAGGGAAGTGAGCACAATGAACTATGGCAATGGACTGTGGGTAAATTGGTGATGTTTGTACTGTACTAGCAATACCTGAGGAGTGGGAATCCTATACTCCAAAATACCAACAGTAATGTAAGCCAATGTTACTTCAATTGAAAAAAATAGATTGGAGAGAATCAAACTGAATTATAACAGAATAGACAACCACCGAGATCCTTAAAACCACTGCCAACATCAGTGTTATCCTGGTTCAGTCTGCAACACACCAGGAGGTGAAATGGACCACGAGAACACCATCTAACTGCTGGGAGCGGTGTGGCTGGGTCATTGTGATAACACAGAGAGAGACTCTTAGATCTAAAAAGACAATTATCTCATAGCTCTTCTCTTCCCACACACAGATCTTCAGTTTCCAAGTCACTTTTTTCCTCAATCAATCAAGCAGTTGAAAATAGAGCAACAGCTAAATTCTAAGATCTATAGTACAGGAGCAACTGATGATACTGACACCACTACAAATGAAAAAGATCTCCCCTCTTTCTTCATTTCTTCCTGTCTTTTTACAGCTTCCCACATAGTTATTCTCTTATTTTCTTTTTTTATCTTAGCAAGCCTCCATATGAAATCAAGACTAGAAAGCCAATCATTAATTTCTTGCATGTAATTCATCTGCCCTTGACAGAGATTCAGCAACTATTACATGAAGATTGGATTCATTCCCCGATAGCATAACATCAGTGCTTCGACAACCATTCCATAAAGATCATAAAAAGATTGGTGAAAAATCCAGAGGGATAAGGGAATCTTGTGAGAACACAAGAGAACCAGGTTAAGTTAAAAGAAGTACAGTAGGCATAGATCAAAATTTACATTTAATAGTGTAATTTGGAAGAGGAAGCAACACCCAAAAGCCTTCTGTATAGAGAATGTCTTCAGGGTTGGTGTTTGGCCAGAAAACTTAATCTTTATTCTCATTAACTTTCATTTACAGAATCAATTTATATTCCGTGGAGAGAAATGACTTTTGAGCTATCTGAAGGTTGGGCTATAATGACAAATTCTAAACTTCTGGCTTGTATCTAAAGCCACAGATATTTCTTTAATTTCAATGCCATTTTCACTTCATTTACTAAAGAACAGTGGTTCACACTGTTCAGGGCTAAAGCAAATTGTAATCCAGACCTCCTAATATTTCTCTTTTCCTTTATCCTAGTCAAGGACTCTTATCTAAACCACTTTGCCTCCTGCTGTGGAAATGGTTTATATTCTTAAAGGTTTGCTCTCAAGAGGGGAAAAAGTGGTACTTAACCACTAGCCATAGTAGTAAAATGTCAGTAATGTGATATTGTTAGTACCCACACATGGTCTATTTCACATAAATTGTAGCATAGATGAGCTACACTTTAATAATGTGATCTCAGGGCCCTTGGGCCACTGCCAGGTCAGCTATTAGAGTGAGAGAGCTGGGACGGAAGTCTGTGTGGTGATAACACACCATGCAATGAATGAGTGCCTCGTATGTGCTAAGTGCCATGCCATAGATGCATGTATGTCAAGACAAAGTCTTATAACCACTGGGAAGGCAGGTATGATCATTTCCACTTTACAAGTGGGAAAAGAGGCAACTTCATCAAGATCATATAGGAAATCACAAACTGCCTTGCTTCCCGGCACGTGAAATCTGGTGGTTCTACAAGATAGAATCTATCCATTTGGTACATGTTATGTACATACTTATGAATTTAGTTATTCTTCTAGGGCAAAAGTTTATGACAGCCCTAACACTAACTTCAGACTTCAAGTACAACATATTCCATATCTAAGTGTCATCACTAAATTAGTCAACTTGGTTAATATGTTTTTCCCATTTGTAGAAATATTGCCCTGTGCAAATGATATTTTTCAGTTTCATCTGTTAAAACAACTCACTTATGTTTCATTCCACCATTCAAACAGGTAAATGACTTTTCAGCTGACTTATAATATGCCTCCCAAAACTCTTTCCTATAGCTTTGTCTCCTATTCCTCACTTCTAAATAATGCAAAAATTACTCAGTTTTAAATAATTGATCTTCTTGACAAAAGTCCATCAATAGTCATTCTTTCTGGCTGAATAACTTTTGCACTAAGTTGCAAAAGCACTTGTGCATCATCCTTGCCTTACTTCTCCCAAATAGATGTTTTCCAGCATCATCAATTCATTCCACATTGTTATTTAGTACATGCCAGGCACATGACAGAAACACTGAGCAACAAGAGACCTAGTGTAACCTCAAAGGAGGTTACAGGTTTGGGAAAGATGGGGAAATGTGCTGAGTCATCACACAATTGCTGCAACTGAAACAACTACTTGCAAGGAGAGTTTTATACATGTCTGCAGAGGGAGGACTGGCCTACTTTGGGAGATGCACTGGATTTCTCAGGAAAGTAACAGCAAATTTAAATATAATTGTCAATAGAGTGTAAAGAGGTGAGAAGAGTATTCTGGAGAGAGATAAAGCAGCAACAAGGTTAGGTGAAAGAAGGCCAGTGTGACTGCAGTATAGAGACCATGTTGAAACTGGACATGAGAGAGGAAGTGAAGGTGAACACATTCTCCTAAGGTCATGTGGAAGTCTCATCTTTACCCTGAGGAAGGGAAGAGGGGTGGCAGCATGACCTAGTTTATATTCTTACTGGAGTGAGGAGACAAGTTTACAATAATTCACACTGGAAAGAAAGAAATCAGGAGATTACTGCAGTCACCTAGATCCAAGATTTTAACAGTGTGGACCAGACTGGTAATGATGAAAATTATTATTTAGAAAGTACAAGCTGACAGAACCACATGTTGTTATCATATTATGAGCTGCACATGTATTAACTCTTCACATTCTCATAAACAACTTTTAGAGACAATTATTCATTTCCACTTTTCATGGATGAGAGTACTAGGCACATAGAAATTTGTACAAAGTCCAGTTAGGAAACAACAGGACCAGCACCCAAATCCATTGTTGTTTGATTTGAATACCAACTACAAAATCACTGTTTGAATATCAGAAATGTACTTGGAAAAAAGGGTCATTACAATAGTTTGAAAACTTAAAACAACAACAAAGTTTCTTGATCTATTTTATCAAGTTCAGAGTGCTGAGTATTGAAGAACATGTCCTTTAATAAAATGGCTCCTCTTTTGAAAACATATCTCTCTCTCTTTCAGATTTATTTATCTACCTATTGGATTTATTTATTTATCTATGCATACAAGAACTGTAGTATAAGCCAGAGGTGTAGGAGGTAAGAGGATTCACCAGAAATAAAGTGGGAGCAGAGCAGGCGGTTTTACTAAAACACACTGCTGAGTGTCGAGGGGAGCAGTGGGTGAGACAGGAGACGTCTGTTCTGCCATAAAGTTTAGCTCCCTGGCTAGGGACCGAACTCAGGCCATGGAGGTGTGACAGATCTGAGACTTAGCTTCTAGGCCACCAGGGAAGCCAGAAGGCATACCTATTTCAACGTAGCGACTTGGCAAGTCCCTCATCTCACTGGCATGCCGTTCCTTCACCGAGCAAATCTAGGAAAAAAGTTCATAGGTTTACAGGTCATTTTATTCATTCATTGGAAAAGTATAACATTTCCTTGAAAACATGATCTTTTCATCAAATTAGCCATGTACTACTGATAATGGAGTGCATATCATGACTTAAAAGACAAATTAATTTCAATGAAGCACATCATCTATTACTTACATTCTCCAACATTATCTTTCAAGGTCAAAGAAAGGAAGAAACTGTAACAGAGTTTTAACATGTTCCCAAAAACCCATTCCCAGCAACGCTACTCAAGGATTACTTCTATGCTCACCAAATAAAGCTCTGGCAGACGTGTACAACCCTACAACCCAAAAGCCTAGCGGCCAATATGAGCAACAGCCATGTTAGGTTTTGTGTCCTGATTATATATTGGTAATTTATTTCACTGTTTCAAAATAACACTTTGCAAAGTGGTACGTATATATCTTCTCTTAAGTATAATAAAATCAGTGTGTTAAATAATTTAAACAGGGATGGCACACAACAGCCCAGAACCTGGACTCTTTTTTTTTTTTAATGCCTATAAGCTATAGTTTTTACATTTTTAAAGGCTTGAAAGTAGAGAAAGAAGAAGGGAAGGAGGGCTAGAAGTGAGGAAAGAGAGCAGAGGGGAGGAGGGGAGAAAAGTTAAAAGCAGAAATACAAAAGAAAATTATTCACTAGAAACAGTACATTGAATGGAAAGTCTAAATTATTTACTGCCAGCCCTTCCTTTACAGAAAAAGTTTGCCAAATCTTATTTTAATATTTATGTACACAGACAGTTTGGCTAGACCATGTAACTATACATATTCATACATATTTATCTATCACTCACATGGTACCAAGGTGATTTCAAGGTGATAAAATGTTAGTATTTCCTCTATTCTTTGCTGTATTTTCTAAAATGAAATTATTCTATTTTGTAACAAGAAACATGGAAACTGTATGTAAGTTCAGCCACCTAGATTTACTGACCCTTTATAAATTTTGCCAGGAATCAGTTTTTTCCCCATTTTCTTTTTGGTAACACTGTGTTATTTTATAGCTGCTTCCCTAAGGATAACTACAACATGGAAAATTCTAAAATATTTCAAAACCCAAAGAGAAAATTAAATATTATTTGTAACCTTAGAACTAAATGACTATAAACAGCAACTATTTTTTAAACCTAATAATTTGCTACAAATAATTCAAGTACTATCTAAATATTCTTATCAACAAAATTCTCTAATGTCCTTTTATTTCATTACATGAATCTACTATCATTTCTTTAATCAGTTGCCCTTTAGACATTACTGTTTGGCTTCTATTTCTAAGTTGCTCCTACTCTAATTTCTAATGATTGCAATAGTGCTAACAAAATACTTGTATGTAAAACTTTTGGACTTCTGCTTCCTTAAATTTCTAGAAGTAGAAGTGAAAGATCAATCAGTATGTATACTTTGTATACATGCATTGCTTATATATAAGCTGAAGTCCAGCAATGCAGTGAAACGTGAGAGTACTTGCGTTTTCCAACACCAGACTTGAATCTGTGGCTGTGGAGGTTTAAACATTTACTTCGAAATGACTGGCTTTTTGTTGTTTGCCTTCTGTCCATCTCAGTCAACTTCCTGTCTACTTCTCCCGTTTTCCTCAATTTCCTTATCCCTATTGGTAGATTTTTTTTTTTATCATATTTGTTATCTACTTTTCTGTCCACACTTACTAGGGAAATGTCAATGGCAAATGAGTGGCTGTGTTAATGTGCTGATAAAAGTATATAAAGAGTAGTGATCCCAATGGTTTGAAATACATGCATACACACACACACACACACACACACACACACACGTATATGTGTGTGTAACAGCAATATTAACTAGTACCAGTGACCAATTACTGGCACCAGTTGTGAGCTAGAGGCTTTGTAAAACAGGAGAGAGCTTTTTTCTTAGGAAGTGCTGAGTAGGAGATACCCAATTAACCAAAAATGTTTTGCCCAGAGTGATGTAGAAGCACACTCTGTTTAGAGCAGGGTCCTCAGCTGGCAGGGCAGGAAGGCTTAGCAGAAGAGGCATGTAAGGTGAAGAGGAGAAACAGGTGCAAAAGGCCATCTTAACAGTCCAGGGCTTTCCGCTGGAAGGTGACTAGACAGACAGTGGAAGGAAGGTGGGGGCAGAGTGGAAGAGTTTGGGTGCCAGATCTGCACAAGGCTTGGAGCCTTGTGAAGTATGAGGTTGGTATCCTGTGAGTAATAAGAATTCCTTGAGGGACTTAAAAAGGAGTCTAGCATTATCTGATCTGCACTTTAGAAAGGCAGATCTGCCCTTTTTAGGACAGAATTAAGGTAGGCAATGCCAGCACCAGGGGGACTTGGCAGGAAAGAGAGAGGTGGAGGGATCTGAGATAGTAACAGAACTTGGGGACTGAGCAAGCTTCTTTTAATCCTCAGACTTGTCTCAGAGGGGATGGTATCAGCCCTAACCCACAGAGACGAGAACACTGAGGCCCTAAGAGTGAATTAAGGCACATAGCTAGAATCAAAACTGACAATGAGGCCTGACTATCTCCCTGGCTAAGCTGCAACCTCTGAGAACCGAGACCCTGGCGCTGCTGGAGGCCGGCATGCCTCAGCCCTATGCTGGCCCACTTGTCTGAGCTCGCATCCCCATGCCTGTCTCACAGACAGAGCAGCAGGTGCAGGTGGGTGAGTAGTAAATGCAACCCTAAACTCCATCCTGCAGAAGAGCAGATCAATGATTTCAAGAGCTCTTTACATTGATAGGTAGTTTCTCGTCCACAAGCACTAATTTGCTTTATCCAACTGTCCCCTTTGCCTTTCCACTTAGGTGTCTAATTATGTGGCGTCTGCAGTGGACACAGACAAAAAGCAACTTCTGATTTTTTTACTCTTTAAACATGATCCATGTTGCTTCAGCTGTCTCTCCTATCTCAGTCACTGTAGCTTCATTTTCCAGTTCCTTGGATATAAAAAGTCACCACTGACTTCTCTCTTTTTCTTACTCTCTCCATTATACTGTCAACAAACACCAAAGGCCAACCCTCAAAATATATCAGAATACAATCATTCCTCACTAGCTTGAGCAGCCTGATCCAAAATGCCATTATTATTGCTGTTGTCATTATTTACTCAAGTAGCTTCCTAAGCAGTGTCCTTTCTATACTGTTCATTTGCTGGTCAGCTCCACACAGCAACTAGAGTCGTCATTTTGGAAATCCAGGATGAGCAAAATCCTCTACTGGCTTCCCATCCTACTCAATTGAAAAGTCAAAGATTTCATAAAACCTATGAGCCCCACAGGATCTACATCACTTCAAAGTACTCCCCTCCTCCACCTTCTGTCTTCTATCTCCCCCAGCGATGCTGATATCCTTTACATTTCTCAAAGACATACCAATCACACACTGACTCAGGGACCTCTCACTGGCTGGCACCGTGGACACCCCCTGCACAGCTGTGTGACTTCCCCCACTCAGATGACAGACCAGTTATGACACACACTTTCCCTATTAAGCAGTGTCTCCCCTCACCTCTTTTCCATTTTAACTTTCTCCTGCTGAATCATTTCCAGTGGTATTTATGACCATTCACATGCTAGGTTTACTTATATGTTTAATGCTTGCCACCTTCCCTCACTAAAATGTAAATTCACCAAGGGAGAGGATTCATTCAATTATTTGTGTGTCTGTGATACTAGAACACTGCCTGGCATGCTATTTTTCAGGTAAGTAAATAAATTAAGTGGCTAGCTCTAATTGCACACTTCACTACAGTTTGGAGCAGTTTCACTCCAACAAATTGCTTTCTACCTGAGAGAGTATGTCTTATCTCCTCTAGCCTTAAACACAGGAAATTTCTTATCAGATATGTGTTCAACATATTGCTGACTGAATTTGAAGAGGTATTCCCAATGAAATGAAACATTTCTAAGTCGGATCATTATTTGAGCAGAGTGAAACTATATCCGTTTCTTATGGTTGCTGTAACAACCAAATTTATACCACAAATTTGATGGTATAAAAACCAGAAACTTATATTCTTATTTCTCAGCAGGTGGTAACTCTGAAGTCAGTTTCCCTGGGCCTAAGTCCCAGTGCTGGATGGCTGTAGTGCTCAGGGGTGACTGTCTTCCTGGCTTCCTCTAGCTATGGTGGCTGCCAGCATTTCCTGGACACACCTCTCCAACTGCTGCCTCCCTGGTCACCCTGCCTTCCCCTAGCACAAAGCAGTACTCCCCCATATGGATGCATGGAGTCAGAGCCCACCCAGGTAATACAGCATAATCTCCCCATCTCAACATACTGAATTAGTCACATTCCTTGCCAGTCCTTGAGACATACAAAGAAACATTTACGGCTGCTGAAATTGGGACCTGCCATGTTTGGAGGACATTACTCAGTCAAATAGAGAAAGTATTCCTTGTGGTAATCAGTGAACTTCTTATGGTTCTCTACAGGCAAATTCTCCTTTTCTTTCACCAGAAGAAAATAAAAAAGTCACAACTTCAAAACAAAGAAAAAAGCTACCAGTCTATTTAAGAAATTAAAAAAAAAAATCAAGAATGTAGGTTTATTGGCTGAGTAACCACACAAGGGAGAGGAGATGGGAGAGTCACTGTGTGTGACTCCACATACTGTAAACAGTTGGGTTCTTTTTTAAAATTTTATTTTATTTTTTTATTTAGAAGAATTGGGATGTAGGCCACAGATCCCAGGGAGGGGGTGAGAGGAGTCACGCTAGACAAAGTGGGGAGCAGAACAGGGGGATCTACTGAAATACACTGCTGAAGGGAGCAGCAGGTAAGAAGGGGTGAACTTAGGCCTTAGAGGTGACAGCACTGAGACATGACTCTTCAGCCTACATGGAGGCCCCAACTGTGTTCACTGAAAACACACGAAAACAACTATCTTATGTTCAATTAAAAAAAGGGGGAAAAAAGAACCTGCATCATATCAGCTTTAAGCACCCAGACAGAGGACCTTATCTCAAGTAAAGGACATAATGCTTGGTTAGTAACAATTATAGCATTAATGACTTAAATGCTGCCCTTATCCAAAGAAGAGTCACACTTACATAGGCATGCCTCTTTCATGACTTTCCTAAAATTTTATGGCAAAGAAATTACAGGTATTTATTAGGTACTTATAGTATGTTAAATGCTATGCTAAGCTCTTCATAAGCATTACCTCATTTAATTCTCCTAAAAGTTATAGTATGAGAACAGCTAATATTCCCATTTTTCAGATAAGTAAAGCAAGGATCAGAGAGGGTCACACAACAACAATGCAAAGTTACAGCTGATTTCAGGTCATCCGGCTCCTTCCACTAGACTGTTGATGAGATACTTAAACTATTTTTGACTCACTAGTTTTTAGGATTGCTTTTGTTTAGATTAAGCTGCTTTATTTTGAAGGGAAACAAACAACTTTTGGTTCTGAAGTATATAAAATGAGATCAGCACTGGCAGGTATGAAATGATTATGAATGACCTTTGGTTCCCCTTGGTAGTACAGCTAAATTTCATTTACTGGAGCAAAAAAAGGGCAGACAATTATATACCACAAGATATTCCCAAATCTTATTGTAAGTCTGGTCCTGTACCCTGTCAAACTAATACCATGCATGTAGGATGTTTTAGTTGTAACTTTTTTTTTTGACAAACCAATAAAACTAACATGTTCTATAAATAGCCAAGGTCAACTAGGTTATGGGAATTCAAAGATCAAAAAAGGTATCATGAATGCAGAGAAGTGCATGATTTGTTTTCATAGCTTAGAGAAGAGTGGATCTTTGAAACATATGCATATGAGCGGTAGGTAGACAGTATTCAGGTGAAAAACATTGTGATTCTGAGAAGCCACGCAAGAACTCATATTCTCCACACTATCCTCAGTGGATCTATGGTGACATGGGCTCATTAAAAAGACAAGCAAAACCACCTTGACAGAAGTCCCCCAGCCAATAATCAGTGTCACACTGTCCTTCCAGCAGAGGCTGCAGGGATACATATCTGGGCGAAGACTTATATCATCTCGGGGCACGTTGGTGATTCTTTGCTTTGAGGTGATGTCAAAAATCTTCACACCCTGGAAAATAAAATAGCATTAAACATCCTCTACTTGGGAGAAGGAGAGTAAAGGAAAATCTATTAACAGTCAGCTGCTACCCACTACTGATAACCAACACTACAAAATTGGGTGAAGAAAAATGCTCTGCTTCACACAAACCCATGAGAACCCCAAACAAAAGAAACCCCCATCCTCCTTTTTTAGCGAAAGACATTTTTTTAGTGGCTGACTCATATCTAACACAAAATAAAAGGTATTGCTATCAAGAGCTGTGTTTCCAAAATGACAGACAAGTAACATTTCTAATTGTATTGTTCCATCACATAAAAGAAGTTTGATTTTTAGAAGTGCTTTGAATCTGAAAAACTACTATGTAAAGAAAACTACACCTGACATTTTAGAGTACTCAAATGGAAACTTCAAGTGGTCGTTACCTAAAAATAAACTGGAGGCCACAGGCTTGTTTACCTTTATTGAGCCAAGAGAAGGAAGAAAAATCCTGAAAAGCAAGGTAGATTCTGGGAGATTTCTAGCACATAAAATGGAATAGACCTGACTAACTATATTATACCTTGAAATTCCAAAAAGATATGCCTCATGTCAAAAACTTTTAAAACTTCCTACTCACCCTAACTCATATTGAGTCAATTTTAAATAAGTGTAGCCTCAAAAATTATTATCCACTTCTTAAAAAGCAACCCCATTTTTGCCTGTGATTATACTGGGAGTAAAAGAGAAATCAGCAATATTCTGTACTTGTTTCAATATCAACTGTTACTTGCCTCTGGCTAATAGGCAAATAGTATTTTCAAGACCACATTCCCAATACAGCCCTTCAATTATTAAGATGCCTTTTCATTTTCTTGGCTATTCTCCATGCCTCAGGTTTCTTTCCCTAAGATAGAGTCCACAATATGTTGGGAATTACTCTTAAATGAAAGCCGAAAGAAATCTAATTTCTTTAAGCTTACAGGTATATCAATCGCAATTTGTATCTTTCAGAAATGACCACCATTGTGAGTTGCATCTCTCTCTGTGCTACAATTCACTCAGTTGACCACATTTCTGGCTCTGAAGAACCACTAAGAAAATGGAAGAAGCGTTTTACCATGTTATTGGCCCAAGCAATCAGATGGCCTCTCCACTTCACACTCCGAATGTTCCCTTCCCCTTCATGCAGAACAGAAGACTTCCATCGGCTCATCCAAGACCGTTCAAATAGCAGCAACTAAGGACAAAGATCATAAAAAAATTTAGATGGCAAAGCATATATTAGATTCCTTATTTACTACTCTGGACTGTTAACTGACCAAATAACATACAAGCCATTCTCATCTTTTATGCAGACTTACAGTAGCATTAAATGTGCATTTTTGAAAGCATTTACACTACATCTTATTGTGCCTAGGGCACTGCTTAAAATGGATTCGAGTGTTGATGTTCTTACAAATTCTAGCCACAGGATGGCACCAAAATACCAAAATTCACGGAAAAGACCCTCCATTAGTCAGTGATTAGTACCACAGAAAGTTCTTTGAATGATTGCTAGGAATTAATTTTTTAAAATCAGAAACTCAAACCTTATAATTTTTTTCCCTGAAAATAACATGCAAGTCACAGATTAAATGCAATCACTGGAAGTATTTTGCTTTTCATTTAACACAGGAAAAAAAAATGTAACAAAGACATCTACACCTGAACAATAATTCATATCAGAAAAATAACAGAAATTTGCTTTAGGATTAAACTTCCTTAAAAACCTCATAATAGTTATGGTCTTTATTTTAAAGGGAAGAATCTATAATAAAAAATTTGGAAAATTTTATGACTAAATATATAACTGGTTAAGATGGAATACTATTAATTCATGCAAGATTAAGGTCACAATGAAATATTTTTTTTACTATATTCAATTTAAATCATTTAATAAATACAATATAACTTCACATATGTAATTTATAATTCATATGAAACTTAAAATTTGTAACTTTAGACATGAATCATTAAATTTACCTTTGAAAACAAATGTTGTTGAAAGACTCTATAACAGAATTTTAAAAGTTCTGGAAAATTTTTGGAATGCATTACAGTCAACTTCAGTTTACTTTTAGCCTATTTGCTCTCCTCCCAACCCCAAAAGAGGAAAAAAGAAGAGGAAAGAGAATTCACATTTTATTTAAAAATGTTAATGTAGCTTTCTTAATAGCTGAGGTCCTATAATTAAAACAATAAAGAAAAAAAAAATCCTAACATTAAATATGTCCATCTTCACTAGTCAGTTCAGTATGGTCCCTTTAAAATGCCATATGACTTAAGTTCTCAATTTCCTAGAAGTAAGGTTACCTCACATCAATGGCAAAAAAGAAAAGGGCTTTTACTGAACATATGAAGTTCTGTCTTTCCATTAGACAGATACAGGAAATCATCTGTACTTTCAACAACCTTATAACCCATTTTGTCCTCTCTAGCTCTGGTGTTAAGTAAGAAATCACCACCACTAGGTTGACCTGTCCCCAATTAAAGTCTTTTAGCTATGTCTTCTGTCTGTACTTCAAACTCTCTCTCTGTCATCATATAAAGAACAGAGCTGGGTACTTGGGCTTCCTGGGTGGCACAGGGGTTGTCTCAGTGCTATCACCACAAGGGCTTGAGTTTGATCCTGACCCCAACCAGGGAGCTGACCCATATAGCATAGCAGAACTGTTCTCCTGCCTCGCCCACTGCTCCCCTTAGCAGTGTATTTTAGTCAACTCAGCTGTTCTGCTCCCCAAAGGTACAAAATATCTGTATCCTTGGCCTATCCCAGTTCTTCTATGAAAAAATAAATAAATCTTAAAAAAAAAAGTAAGGCTAGGTACTTTAAAGAAAATTACATTAAACATGCAGAATATCTGCCTTCCATCCTGTGACCTGGATGGGGTGGGCGGAGGTAATCTGAGAAGTAAGCTGCCTGGGATGCGCCCCTCCAGTCACTGCTTGAAGGAATGATTGGCTGGAGGGCCTCAAGGAAAGTGCAGTGGAGAGCGGCTTCAGGTGCTTCTCCCTACTAATCCCCACCCAGAAATCACCAGTGTCATATTCAAGGAGAAATGCAATTTACCTATATTAGAAACATTAAGTACACTTTAAATTTACAATAAAAAATTCTGGGAAATGATAGCAACAGAACCCCAGTGAATGCCATGATTCAGTTTGTTTTAAGAATAAGCCTGCCTGGGTAGCTGTTTGGGTAGACACCTGAATGCCAAACACCCATCACTCAGGCAATATAGACTAGAGGGGAGGAGTCAAGGGGAGATCATCGTGCCAGGACCACAGACTGTGACCGCCCCCCCCCCCCGACACATGACTGGAAATACCCAGTCCACTATTCCTGAACACACAGATTGGAAGGGAAGCAGGTGCGCTAGCAGCAGAAGGGGCACCACCAAAGCACTCATGAGCAGTGTCCTAGTAAATTCTTGAAGTGAGCCTTTCCAAAAATCCAGCGTCCCCCCCACCTTTTTTTTCTGATTATTTACACTCCCGCTATGAGTGAAACCATCCAGTATTTAAGCAATTGCAATAAAGTAAAAACAAAAATCAACATATAATAAACCAGAGACATTCTTCAGGGCAGAGGAAAGAGCACATGGGATGATGGTGACGGTACCTAGGTGAAGTGGTGGTGGGAAGTTCACAGGGAATATAGCCAAAATGAAAAAATGTGCAAAATGAAGAATGATGTAAAAAATAATATGCATATATAAAAAATAAAATATTAAAAATCCAGCATTCCCCTGCTGCATCAAGGAATACATGCTTTCATTTTCTCAGTAGACACTTGTGTTCCAATTTAGGCAAACATGAAACTTTTGTAAAACTTCTCTGGCTATTGCAAAGACTGAAGGATTTGGATTAGTTCTTAACAAAATGTATGGCAAAGTCACAGTAATTTTAATTCTGAATTCTGAATATGGATTTCTTCCAATAAATATGGACCCAATAAAACAAATCAAAAACAGTAACAGTGAAAAATTCAACATTTGAAAAAATAATATTTATCCAGGGAAAAAGAAAAATCTCTCACTCTCTCACTCCCAATTACATATATAAGAGATATTCCATGAAACAAAGAAGAACTTTAAAAGTAATTCTTGTTTTTCTCAGGTGACAAGGAAATTAAGCAAGAAATTAATAATTAAGGATAAGACAACCAAAACTGAAGTAAAAAATACTGCCTATCAAACTACACTTTGGAACTTTGAAAATAAGAATACAAACACTACAAACCTAAACTTTAGGGGCTGCAATCAAAACTATAATGCAGGGAAAGTGCACTGTTCTAAAAGTTAATGATGAATAAAAACACATGTGAATGTAATAGCTACTGAAAAAAAAGAAAAATACTTTAAGAAAATAAAAGGAGAAAGGAATAATTGGAAAGATATATGATGTTTCTGGATAATAAGACTCAAAATCTTATATAACAGTGAAATTTTCACTCACAAAGTTAACCTATGATTTTAATGCAAGCCCAAGAAAACCCCAAAGGAATTATTTCTACAACTTCCAAATGCTATAAATTCATGTGAAAATATGTGAGAATAACAGGAATTAAGGGAGAATAATGGGGTGTGCGTATTGTCTGTGGATTTACACTGCCAAGCAGTAAAACATGGTCCTAGAATTGACAGATAACAGGAACAGAAAAGAATGAACTGACAAAGATGTATCATAATGATAAGGTCAGACATGAGGAGGGCTAGGGTGCTATAAGATACCCTCAAACTACTGAGCAGAAGTCCTACCATCATTCTGGAGGGTCATTTAACATATGGACTGAGAGCTTTAAAAATGACCCCAGAAATCCATGTCTAGAGATTTATTCTAAGAAGTGATCACATAATTAAGCAAAGATATATGCAAAGTTATTTAGAGGTTAAACAGTATCAAAAATTTACCAGAATTTAAGAGAAGGAAAGGAGTATTGAATATTAACTCACATAAATTCTAAAAAAAAAAAACAAAACTCCTTTAGAAAACTTATAAATCTTATGAAATTCTAAAGAAGATCCAAACTCACTCCAACTAACCCTCCTTTTGTGGGGTGCTTCAGGAAGGAAGCTGAGAGGGGCTAAACCCTCGGCTCCCTTTGGTACTGCAGTTTCAAGGGAAACTTCCAGCAAAAGGTAGGAAAAGGGGAGACTTCTGAATTTAGTCTCCCTCAGTGTTGATTTAGTTTCCCAAGTTCTGTTAGAATAACTGTGTGCATCCTGATCTGATGAAATCAAAGGAGCAAAGGAGCATCTCCCTTAATGATATTTTTTATAGTATAGTCAATAACTTCTATAAATGAAGCTAAATTTAATGAACCTACAATTTTATGGACAAAAAATAACAAATGATTTGTAAATAGTCATATATATTAGGAAGGTTCATCATTCAAAATTCTTTCTCCTCTAATTTCTTGACTCTGTAATGTTTTAAGGCCAGGCTGGTTCTATCACAGGTTAATGAGTACCATTTTATTTTCATTGAAATTCATCTCCCAAACAGATTGTAAATGCACTGGGAAAAGAAACCACATCTTACACTCTGCTAGAACACAAAGCATAATAAATATTAGATAATGAGTAGGATTTCCTCTGTCTACTAGTCTTATTCTTTCCTTCAAGGTCCATAGAATGTGCCTGCTGTATTAGCTACTAAATAGCTAAAGGAGCTATGTAATTTCCCCAAACCTTTAGATATTCAGTCCATTTTTAGTTAATGAAATCCTGTTTTTGGATACCCTGGAGTCTGCACTAATCCCAAAAATGTAAAAGGAAGAACTCCATAGCAGAGTCATGCATTCAACATCTGCACTTGGAGAAAGAGCTCATGTATACTAATTCCATGTCCTACTCATAAAAACATTGGTCTAGGGTCCTCCCTTGTGGCACAAAGGCTGAATTCTCAGCATTATGAAGCTATCCGCAGCCACTGTAGCATATGTTCAATCCCCAGCCAGGGAGCTGACCCACATGATGGCACGGCAGACCCCTCCTGTCTTACCTGCTGCTCTCTTCAGCAGTGGATTTCAGATCTGCCTATTCTGTTCCCCACTTTGTCTCTGGTGAATCCTTTCTTCTCCCCACACCTCTGGCCTATACATCAGCTCTTGTTTGCATAAATAAATAAATCTTAAAACAACAACAATAACACTGGTTTTTTTTTTTTTTTTTTTTTTTTTACTCAACACCAGGA